AGGGAAAACTCACAAGAATGCATAAACATGGAGATAGTATCTATGTGGCCTAGCCTTGATGGCTTGATAATCAGAACTCGACTAGATGAAGATAAAAAAAAAAAAAAATTTTTGATAAAGGAAATGAGTGCAAATTGCTACAATTTGATGACCTTGACCTATACTTACAGATGTAGTAGTTCAAAATACCAACTGAGAGGGAAGAGTCTTCACATCAAGTATCAAAGCTATCCCCTCTGTATACAGGGTAGATAGGGAAGAGCAACTTAGACATTGGCTACCTAAAATGAGGGGGTGATAAAGACACGAGATGAATGGCTTACAAGTTTTTAAGAAAGAGTTTAGTTTAAGAGTATGCAAGGGAAGATAGAGTTTCCACTGAATAGTTTTCATCTTGTCTAGACGCGTCTGGTGAAAAGAGATGGGGATAAGGTTCTTATGATTCAAGAGTGAGTAAATGTTATCATGACTAGTTGTGACTGTCACAACTGTAAAGGTAGAAGTTTTGTAACAAACATGGGGAAGTAGTTAATCTTACAGTCTAGAAACAGGGGACACTAGGACCATCAAGGACAAAGAGCACAAACGGAATGTGAGACCCTATCCAGAGAAGCAGTGACACCAGAAATGGAAGCAGAGATGAGGACATGGCGGAGCAGCTGAGGACTCTAGACTCATGGAAAGAGAGGAGGGTCTAAGTGCTGGCGGCCAGGAGGGAGGCTTGCAGTATGTGCCCTTTGGTTGTTTTAATTGTTATATATTCCTGAGTGTTTTGTGTACCCCCCTACCCCCAAAAAAACACCCAGAAGGAATAGAAACAAATACTGTTGAATGATGATGCACCAAGGAGATTGTAAACATTGAAATGAAACAATGGTGTATAGCCAATGTCTTCCCATGTAAATTACCACTCAGTGCACAATGAAGGAAAAAAAAAAAAATGCAGTGGGAAAATATACCTCAACAATCAAAATAAGCTTTATAATTTGCTTAAAAGTTACTTATTATATACCACATATTAATAAAGTAACCATGAATGGAATGTAACAAATTATAACACATTCCATTTCTAAGTTAAAATCCAGAACTAATAAAGACTTGGATATTATATCTCAAACAATGGACATATACTGAGGAAAGGTCCATAAATATTGTCCCTAATGTGACTGTCTATTTTATTTATAAAGAATTGAACTCCTATTTTGAGGGAAAAATAATTCAACTGAGGGCTGCAAAATAAACGGTTCATACTTGCTTTTTCCTATGTAATAGTCTTTGTTGCCTCCTAGTGGGAACTATACAGAATAGCACACAATGTTTATTATTTTGTGTAAAATTATAAAAGAAAACTAAAACCTTGCAGAACTCTGTTTCCTTATTTTCAAAGCCAAAAAAAAAGAATATATTTGAAAATTTATTAATGTGGTTACACAGACTTATAAAGCACTAGTTTCACTCTGCTCTACATGGTAAAATAAAAACAACTGCAAATCATACCAAATTCATCTAGAGAGCTATAAAAAAAATAGCCACTTATACCAAACTAACCACTAACTTTTGTAAGATGTCTATTTATTCAGAAGTCATTGAATAACATTAAGTTGTCTTTATAAACCAACAAAATTCAATCCTTTTGAGATCAAAATTTAAAAAGTAGTAGCTTTAGTGTATGATAAATTTGCACCAAATTTATACAATTTTAATATGTGAATATTTCAGGGTAGAACTCCTGGTGTGGTACTATCGGATAAGCACTGGACTGTGAACCACAAGATCAGCAGTTCAAATCCACCAGCTGCTCCTTGGGTTGCTATATAGGGTCACTATGAGTCAGAGTTGAATAGACAACACTTAAAAGCAACAACATTTCAGAGGAACACATTTTTTAAGGCTTCAAAAGTTTTTCCATGAAATAATCATTCAGTAATTTTATATGATGGATAAAACCTGTGCTTTAGGCAAAACCATCTCTTTGATGAAGATTTAAGCTTTATAAATAAAATATGAAATAAATGTATGCAATATGACTTTTTGCTGGCATCCTGGCGTGATGCTGTAGGATAAGCACTGGATGGCTAACCACAAAGTCGGTGGTTCAAACCCACCAGCCACTCCTCCACAACCATATACAGGGTCGCTACAAGTCAGAATCGACTTGATGACACTTAATAACAGCAACATATGACTTTCCTGGCACTTCTCTTTTGAAGATACAGCAGAAACAATTTACATTTACTCTGATTTTTTTCACTTTTATTACATATAGCAATATATATATATATATATGTATAGGTCAATATCCTTGAAAAGAAATAACAACTTTCTGGGGTGCTGGAGGCTGATGAGCGTCTGAAATTGTATCCCTGAGACAATCTTTAATTCACACCCCCAAAAAATGTCCCCTGAAATTTTCTTAAAGCCACGTAATAATAGTTTGGCTTGTCTCATAATGTACGTCCACTTTGAGCATTGAGCTGTATTATGAACAACTATATGGGATCAAATTGGAACTCTAAAGATGAAATAGGAAAGTTAATGGGGGCAATGAGTTTATATTAATGGGGCACAAAGTCACTGAACTGCTGAAGAATAAGCTAACCACAAGGTCAGGGATTCAAACCCACCAACCGCTCCTTGGAAACCCTATACAGGATCGCTGAGAGTTGGAACCAACTCAATGGCACTCAACAATAACAACAGCATAAACTGAGAAAAGGAGGGGGAATGGTTGAACAACTCAAGGAACACAATCAACGTCACTGAGTTGTACCATGTAGAAACTATTGAATTGGTCCATGTTCTTCTGTGTATGGTCTCAACTACAGCAAAATTTAAATAATGTGTAAAAAATTTTAAATGATTATCACCTATGAATGGCATGTATTTTTCCAGCTACCAAACTTTTAATTACCAACCTATTTTACTTGTTTATTTCTACATCAAGTCCTCCTTTCTGTAGGAAATTTAGCCCAAGTACAGATGTGGTGCTATAGGTTCAGCACTGGACTTCAAAGCACAAGGTCAGCAGTTCAAACTCACGGGCTGCTCCACGGAAACCCTATACAGAGTTGCTATGAATCGAAACTGACTCGATGGCACCTAAAAAACAGCAACAACATACATAGGGAATAGTCTAAGGCAAACATCAGTGCAATGATATGTATTCAAGGACAAATGCCACAGATTGGACATGAAGAAAGCAAGGCGTTCAGAGAACAGAATTACATCAAGTTTTAGAAGCATGCCTAGGGGTCATGAAACACATAAAACTGAGAGACATTCATGGAAAAAGGAATGCGTAAAGAAGTGTAGCCATAAATATGAAGATGGCAGCACAGCATGACTTAAGTGTCCTAGAATCAAGTGCTAATTCTAGACTTGTCAATAATCCTCTAATCTTCATTCCCTGCTCAACAGACTGGAAAGAATGGCTTCTGCCTTCAGCCAAGGACTGGCAACAAAAAATAAACAAATAAACTCCCTAAGTATGAGTTATTTACATGCATAATGCATTTGAAGAAGGATGGCAGCAGCGGTGATAGAGAAAGAAAGATTACAAAATAATGAACAGAAGTTTCTATCTATCAAAGCCAAGTGTAGACATTTCTCAAATGGAACTGAAGCTGTTTATCATGATTTAATAGTTTGGGAACCAGGTTTTGATTATTGATTTTCTCTTACTCCATCATAAATACAGGTAATCCCCGACTTGAGACGTTTTTGAGTGAACATGAACTGTATATACAACTGTCTGGTTTTTGTAACCTTATCATTAGCAACATGCACTATATACACTACAGCATGTAATTTATGATGATCACTAACAGATGTTCAAATATTGGATTTATCAGGATACTGATGATAAAAGGCAATAAAAGTGGGAACTAAAAAATAATTCAAAAGAGGCATGTGACTTAAGTCAGAACCAACTTATGATGGAACCATCAGAAGGGGTTCGCCCCACCCCCACCCCACTCCCACTGTAAGCTGGGGACTACCTGCACGATGAAACCTGTGTGAGCTGGAACTCAATGACACTTCCTTTATTTTTCTGAATCTTGAAGGTAATCCACCTTTGACAAAGTGTAGTCTTACTACTTTTATATTACTTGTTTTAGTAAAAAGTATTTCCATTTATTTCCCTTCTTTGACATGTTTGTTTCCACATACACAAGATGCAACTTTCTGAATTTTTCAGTTTTACTGAATTTTTACTTATTTACATTAATTGTCCAACATCTGTTTTTCTACCTGACTTGTGTCTGTCTCAAAGCAGATGTTCAATAAAAGATGAGTGAATGAGTGATCATTAAAATAAGCATGGAAACCATCTGAGGTCAAATTATAATTCATCATAACCATGGTACCCTGAGATATACAAAAGGGAGTCACAGGTGACCAAGTGTCATCACAGATGAGACACAGCTGAGTTATGGTCTGGATGCACCAAGCAGTTAAAACATCCAGGAGGTGAGAGTTCAGGCAGGCTACCACTTGGGCAGGACACACAAATATTTTAGTCATACAATAAAGAAGTCACCCTTCTTTCCTACCTGGAAACCATCACAAGACTAAAAGCGTAACACCAATGTACTATAACCACATTTAGGTCCTATGTTCAAAGCAAAGATATTTAGATAAAGATCATCTTTGATTGGCTGAAGGCCAACTGACTTCAGAGACTGACCTTCAAGAGATTCCAGTCTATTAAGGATGAAGAAAGGGAAAGAAAAAATAAAAAGAACACTTACACAAACACAACCTTAGTTGTTGAACAGCAAAGTTTTTATCCAAGAGGCATTAGAAAGCCAGCGAGAACATTTTGTGCAAAGCAACAACTTTGGTGCAGTGTATGCAAGCAGATTACTAATTTTAAGTAAACTGGCCATTAATGGAGCAGGGATGTTCAAGCATTCCAAGAATTCAGGTCGAGAGCACGAGAACAACAGTTGTATTTACTGCATGTAGCTACATCTACAGTTTCCACACAACACACTTACACCGCTGAGCATTTTGCTGGCTTTCAAAGCATGGTCTAAAAACAACAAATTTGGGAGATCTGAAACTGGATCACGCATATTTTGCATGTCTTTCTTGTACTTCACCTACAAAAAGAACATGGAACAAAAGGCCATCTCCGAGAAGAAAGTATTATGTTTTGACCATATTGGAGGTACTATTTTTAACATACTTTAAAGTGCTATCTGGGGAGTCCTGGTGTAATGCTGTGGGCTAATGCATCAGACTGCAAACTTGTTTGAACTGCAAGGTCGGGGGTTCAAGCTCACCAGCTGCTCATTGAAAGCCCTACACAGGGTCGCTATGGGTCGGAATCGACTCGACGGCACTTAACAACAACAACAACGTACTATCTGGAGTCCTGGTGTGGCGCTGTAGGATAAGCACTTGGCTGCTAACCACTCAGTCGGCAGTTCTAAGTCCTCGGAAACCTTATACAGGGTTGTTGAGTCAGAACCGACTGTATGAAATTTAGCACCACCAACAGCAAAGTATTATTTGGAATCCGGGCATGGGGCTATAGGATAAACACTGAACTGCCAACCACAATGTTGAAAGTTCAAAGCCACCAGCTGCCCCTTGGAAACCCTACATGTTATTAGTCTGAGCCCACTGGAAGGCATTTAACAAAACAACGAAGTACTGTTTAATGATAATTTCTTAAATAGATGAATTTCCTAGTAGCCACTAGATGGCGATCTTTACTACTGAATGTGTTTGAAATTAAAAAGATGTCCCGGAAATTGAAAATATTTTGATAACCCCTTTCACATATTCAGAAAGAATGGTGCTAACAGAAGCAAGAAATTTTATCAGAATCCCTGCTTTCCTAAAGTAATAAAACATTCCTTTGACTGTTGTGGTTAAGTGCCGTCGAGCTGTTTCCAACTCTTAGCAACCCTGTATAAAGGGTTTCCAAGGAGCACCTGGTGGGTTTGAACTGCTGCTGCCCTTATGATTCACAGTCCAGTGTCGATCCTACAGCATCACACCAAAGACTACAACATTTCAGTTATACTTTGTAGTTATTTTAGGGTTCTCTGGTATTTCCTATTATAAGCTTTTTTTTTTTTTCTTATCAACTACTTTGAAACAAAAATGTGGGGGGAAATTAATTATCTTTTAATTCCATTTGTCCATACATTTAAAAATTCCCCTTGTACTAGCATAATGCTGTTAAGTGCCATCGAGTTGGTTCCCACTCATAGCAACCCTATATAGGGTCTAGTGAATTTAACAGCCAACCTTTCTTTCAGTTCAAAACAACCTTGTAGTCCTGTGCTTATCCACACCGGGACTCCTCTACTAATAATAGTAATAACATATTAATGATAACAAACATATCAAGCGCTTTTTATGCACCAGGCACTTTTCTAATTACTTTACGTGTACTTAGAACCTAATTTCCGCAACAACCCTAGGAAGTAAGTACTTGAAGAAATGCATTTACAGATGAAGAAACCAAGGCACAGAAAGGTGAATGTGTAATATGAAATGGTAAAACAGGTCTCAAATTCAAGCAATCTGAATCTAAATTTCAAGTTTGCAACACAACAATCTAGAAACTTACATTTCTATTAGTGGAAAATATTTGAGTTTTTCTTCTCTGAAAGATTTCATCTCTATTTCCCCTACATCTTTACCAAAAAAATAGCTAATAAAAAAATAAACCATTATGATATTTCTAATGGTCCTAAAAAAATCCAGAAACACCCAATTCAATTGCTGGAAACAAAACAAAAGTTGGCTATTCAACACAAATAACAATGCTTTCTAAACATTAATGGAAGTAAGATACACATTATAGCATCCCAATGATATGAAAGGAGCTGAAGGGTTTGGATGATATAAAAAATAACAGTTGAACAAATTTAATTTCAGTACTTAAAAGGGCACTATGCGCCCTTCAATTATAGTGAAGTGATCACTTTTCTCCATGCTTCTGTTTACACACTACATGATTCTAATAAATGGCTGATGATTCAAACCCTCCTTGGAAACTTTATAGAGGGTCATTATGAATCGGAATTGACTCCATGGCACTTAACAACAACAAAAATCTCATAAGCGCTTAAAGTTTTTTCCTTTTACAATAAAATTTGATTTTTTTTAAAAAAAGAAAAATCATATGAAGTATTTCAAAGCATTTACATATGGGATAAAAAAGAAACTGTACTCCATTACAAATAGCATTTCTGAAAATTCCTTTCTGATAAACTACCATGTACCGCCTAGTACTTTACAATAAACCTGTTGTCATGGGCATAATTACATGTGTTAATTGTCCTAGCCTCTAATTTACAATAATACACACTTCTCTTCTGTAAAACTATAATCTATTTCTACTTAATCAAATATAATAATTGAACTATATAATTCTACTTCATAGAAAAAATTATGTATATTATTGCTTAGAATTCTACTTTTACTCTTGGCCAGATTGAATGATTTTACTAGCAGTACTATTTCTACTTATTAACAAATACCAACCAGTATGATTAATAATGGGTCCACATTGGCTCTGTAGGATAAGCAGTGGACAGTGAAACATAAGGTTGGCGGTTCGAGCCTACCATTCACTGCTCAAGAGAAAGATGAAGCTTTCTGCTCTCACAAAGATTTCTAGTTTTGGAGACTTATACAGAATCACTGTTAGTCGGAACCTACTCCACAGCACTTAACAACAACCACCATTAATAATAAGGAAGAATAACACATTTGAAAAAAATAAAAGCTTTGGGGAAATATGTATCAGTGTTTTCAACTACAAATTACATGGAAACTACATGACCATGAAGGAAATCCATTGCAGTGGAGTTGGTCTCAACTCATAATAACCTTACAGGAGACGGTAGTCTTGCCCCACCACAAGATTTCCATGGCTGAAAATCCTATGGAAGCTGACTGCCACATCTTTAGCCAGAGGAGCAACTGGTAGGTTTTAAGTACCAACCTTCTGGTTAGCAGCCAAACGCTTAACCACTGTACCACCAGGGCTCCTTTTCTATCTTGTGGGATAAAGCACTGGACCACAGGTCAGTTTGAATCACAAGGTTGGTGGTTCAAACTCACCAGCCGCTCCTTGGAAACCATATTAAAGGTCACTATGAGTCTGAACTGGCTTTACGGCACTTTAACAACAACAATTACAAAGAAACCATTCTAAGTAAACAAGAATCAAAAGAAACTGGAAATAATTTTCTCCAAGACAGAAAGTAACTTACATTACTGGCTAGGATGGTAGCAAGCTGACTGTGCTTAAAAGAAGCACTTTCAAGAGGGTTGTAATGATGTTTCTTATCCTTCATTTCACTGTCGTGTTTCTCTTTGTATTTAATCTGTCATCAAAAAAAAAAATAAGGTAAATTACTAGCACATTTATCTTTAAACTTTAAAAGCAACACATTTGAATTTTAATTCAACCAAATAAAAGCTAGCTTAAAAGTGAAATGGAAGCAATGTTTAAATGCCTGGTATTTCCCCCTATACAGCTTAAGTGAGCATAAAAATTAACAACAAAAACAAAAAAACTCTACTTGAACATTGATCATAAATGCAATTAGGCAGGTACCCAAATCCCATTAAAAAGAATTAATGCAGTAAAAGATCAAAAATTTTAAATGTCAGTTTTCGTTTCTGTATTCCAATAATTTTTGACCAATTAAAAATTGAGACCACAAGTCTCTTAAAGTCTACTAGATTTAGAAAAGAGACTCTTAGGTTTGAGTATGAATTTCCTAAAGCAACTACTCCAGATAAAAGGGAGGAGGCAGATGTTACCTTGGGGATTGGGGCTTGTTCTGTTTTTCCCCTTCTTTTCCCCTAATTCATATTTGTTCAAAACTTTATTTTTAGGAATCACATTTTCTGAAATTCCCTAGACCTATTTTATATCATTTTAATTTCTCTGCTTTGTGTGGTTGTATTCATCACCAGAAATATCTCCAATATTCACTGTAAATTCTTTTTCTGGTAGCACAGTGGTTACGAATCAGGCTGCTAACCTCAGGGTCAGCAGTTCGAAACTACCAGTGGTTCTGTGGGAAAAAGATGAGGCTTCCTGGTCCCATAAAGATTTACAGCCTCGGAAACCCCATACAGGGGCGTTATGAGTCAGAACCGACTCCACAGCACATAACAACAACAATGACAAAGTAATTGTAGGACAATCCAAGAAAGGATTATAAACAATCTGGAGAACTACACTTTCCCCAAGAGAAGAGAAACATATGAATGCATGTACAGTAACTAATTAAAATATAAATGCAAATTCTTTACACATTTAAAAATATCTAGCTACTCACACCCCAAACCCCCTTTTATTGATAATACTCAGGGAAGAAAACACAGACTTCAAAAAAAAGTCAGCTTTGTTCTCTTATAATATTTTTACAGTATTATAATTCTTAAAATACTTTGTTTCAACATTCTTATACTTTTATTCATATATCCTAAGGTTCTACTTTGCACATGCTTTTGGAAAAAAGCAATTGATTTTCTGTGTATAATGATGGAAAATTGGCAACAGATATTAGTGATGGTTGTAAAACATGATTAATGTAATTGGTGTCACTGAACTTCTGTATACATGAAAAAGTGCTGAATTAACAGTTGTTATCTATATTTCAAAAATAGTAATGATCAAAAAACAAACTGGGGATGGATCACGTTACCTATCTTAACTATGCCTGTATCATGGACATGTGTCTGGTACCAAAGGAGAATGCTACTGAAAATCTTGGTAGGAATACAACATTTGAAAAATATTTCAAGATGTTTTACAGGAAGTATTTTCTATATGATTCCATTTGATAATAATAGCTTTCTGATGTTAACACTACTTTATTAATTCCAGCAAAAGCCTTTCTAAAGGAAGTCTGTTGTTGTTTTTTAATTATTTAATGTCCCACAGGGACACCATCACAAATGGAATAAATTGAGATCTTCTTCACAATTTCAAATACACACACAAACCTCAACTGCCACCGTCAATTCCAACTCATGGTTATTCCATGTGTTTCAGAGTAGAACTATGCTCCAGAGAGTTTCCATGGCTGATTTCTGGAAGGGGCTATCATATGTTTCTTGGGAGGCGGCCATGTTGTTAAGTGCCATCCAGTAGATTCTGAATCACAGAGGCCCTGTATAGGGTTTCCGAGGAGTAGCTGGTGGGTTTGAACTACTGACCTTGTGGTTCTCATCCAATGCTGCACCACACCAAAAGTCCAATTTATAAAGTAGCTGCCACAAAAGCAATGGTTTCCTCTACCTGGTCCACAATTCTATTTGCTTTGGGTACGTCCGCCCCTCTCCAATAGCATGTTTTGCTGAATTTCAGCCACTGGTTTTATTTCCCTCCTGTTTTCAGGGCCTCAGAGGTATTCATTTAAAAAACTATAAGAGACTCTCTCTTTGCTGACCTCCACTTGAATGACACATTTCTGACTCAGCTTCACCAATCCTCTTCCATACTTCTGGAGTCCTGGTGTGGCACTGTGTGTTGATGTGCTGGACTGCAGAGTCAGTTTGAACCACAAGGTCAGTGGTTCAAGCTCACCAGCTGCTCCTCGGAAATCCTATGCAGAGTCATTATGGGTTGGAACTGACTCTACAACACTTAACAACAATAACTGATGGCTACAATACAGGGAACACACCCAGACGGTAGCTATTTATCTAATCAATTAATCCAGCTATGCGATGCTGCTGGACTCAAAGTTTCTTTCTAGCATTCATATACTCCAACCTCAGGTACAATGAGTATGTGAATTATGTTTTAACTAACTGGCAAAAAAAGATTAAATAATCTTTGAGTACAGACACTCCATCATACTGGTTTTGGTAACTAACCTGTGGCTTCCAGCCCAATTACATTAGGAGCAGAGGTCAATGAAGGAGCTCTGGTAGCTTAGTGGTTATGAATCAGGCTGCTAATCTCATGGTCAGCAGTTTGAAACTACCAGCTGTTCCACGGGAGAAAAATGAGCTCCCGTAAAAATTTCTGCTCCCGTAAAAATTCACAGCCTTGGAAACCCTGTACAGGGTCGCTATGAGTCAGAACCAACTCCACGGCACATACAACAACAGAGATCAATGGGTGCTGCTTGAAAGCAAAAATGACAAATTCTCACCTGTTATGAAGTCTGGCATTTACTCTGCCCAAATAACTGTCTATTTCTGAACAACTATAATCAATCTACATTGCAATGATGCAACAATTCCTCAATTCATTAAAAATCAGGCATGACTTGAGTGCCTGTAATAAGGTAGACAGAGGCACAAGGAATGGCAATATAAACAAGGCACACTCCTTCAAGTGTGGTTTCAGACACTGGGTGGACTCAACCCTCAAACCTTTCAGAAAGCAGCTGAGAATATTAACCAAACACACCCTACCCAACTCATTGTTAAATTGATTTGGATTGTATCCTTCCGTTAGGTAGAAGGAAATGAGAAACAATAATAAAGGAAATGAGGAACAATAGAGATAAAAATAATATATGGTGTCTGCACTATGTAGTTCCCACAAGTCTTCATTAATTCATTCAAGAAATGTTTATTTAAAGAGTACTTTTTGCATTTGGTTTAATATTAGGTGGAGCCACTGATTAGTACAAATGGTTAACACTTGGCTGCTGACCAAAAGATTAGAGGTTAAAATTCACCCAGATGTGCCTCAGAGCAAAGACCTGGTGATGTACTTCCCAAAACATCAGTCACTGAAAACCCTGTGGAACTCAATTCTACTCTCACACACCTGGGCTCACCATGAGTCAGATTTGATTCGACAGCACCTGGTTGACATCTAAGTATCAGGTACTATGCTGAAGAACGCTGTACTGAAGAGATTTAGACATCAAATAATGACTTACAAATATATGAAAATAAAGAAAAAACGTATTTTTGCTACAACAGAAGATATTTAGTATTGATGGATTAAAAAGCTAGTTGACAAAATTCCTACTGAGTATAATGATAATTTTCTACCAGCTGAGCTACCAGTAGAATCATTAAATTTGTTCTTCCTACTTCCTCCCAATTTTCACTTGTATAATTCCTACATAATCTACAGTTATTCATCAAAATGTAATTTCTTTTGGAAAGTCATCCCTGAGTTTCCACACTAGATTATTAACTGCTAACATATTTTGAAAGGGTCCAGGTTTCCTCTGTCATACTTGTTACGCATAACTATGAGTGTCACACATAACAGTCTGTTGTGTTGGTCTTCCCCATTGGACTGAAAGCTTTGTGAATGAGGGGCAGGTCTGACCTGTTCACCCTTGAAAATTTAATGCTAGCATAGCACCTAGTATTTAATATGTGGTTCAATTACTGTTTTGTTTGAATGAATAGATGGATGAATAATATATAGAAGGGACACTGTAACTGAAAGTCACAACTAGATAATTTCCAAGGTGTTGTTGGATTCTGTGATTACTGTGTAATAGATTTTGATGAGGATTTTTTTGAGAATTTTATTTTTTACGGTTTCCACCACTTTTATGCACTGAACTATGATAGTGGTGGTGGTAATGCGCCATGAAGTAGATTCAGAATCATAGTGACCCTGTAAAGGGTTTCTGAGGCTGTAAATCTTTACAGGAGAAGAAAAATCTCATTTTTCTCCCATGGAACCACTGATAGTTTTGAACTGCTGACCTTGAGATAAGAAGGCCGACTGATAACCACTATGCTACCACAGCTCCTTGCACTGAGCTATACATGTTTAAAATTTAAAGTACTGTCTAAGCTTTCCAGGCGATTTCTGTAGAGTGTGAGAATCATTATTTAAGAGAATAAGAAAGCAAGTCCAAAAAGTATTACTACTTGAATTATAGTTCTTACATGTGTGGATTTATTCAAAACAAAATGTGGTTTAAACAAGTTGCTGTGATAAGTGGATGCCTGCAGACAAGTTTTCTCAGTAAGTAAATATAAAGCTTTATGGGAGCAGACAGCCTCATTTTTCTCCTATGGAGAAAGTGGTTTGAACTGACTCATTAGGGTACCTTAAAAAATAGGATGTGGAATGAGGGATATTATTGCTGATGTCTGATGGATCTTGGCTGAAAGCAAAGAACACCAGAAAGATGTTTACCTGTGCGTCATTGACTGCAAAAAGGCTTTCAATTGCATGGATTATGACAAGCTATAGACACCATTGTAAAGTATGACTATTCCAGAACACTTACTTGTGCTCATGAGGAACCTGTACATAGACCAAGAGGCAGTTGTTTTAACAGAACAAAGGAACACCAAATTGTTTAAAATTAGGAAAGACGTGTGTCAGGGTTGTATTCTTTCACCGTACTTATTTAGTCTGTATGCTGAGCAA